GATGGGTCAAACTTACGCAATGGCAGCGTACATGCCCGGCCGGTACTCCGGCGCATCCTGATCACGGAAGACCAAACTACTGGCAATGCCACCGATACCGCCAAATCCAACCAGTGTGGCACTGCTGAACGCGCGAGTCCACTGACCACGCACATTATTCGCCTGGTACGCCATGCAAGACGGAATATTCGCATTTGCACCTGCGACCGTGAAAAAGACACCTGCGTACCGCACCGCGTTGCCCTTGGCAAATCCCATCATGGGCAAGCCGATGATGCAGAGCAAGCAGTTGCCAATGAGGATTGGTCCGCGGATTTTGTATCGGTCACCGATCCAGGCTGTGCTATACATAACAATGCCGGCGAAGACGTATGGCGGGGCCACAAGGCATTGCGACTTCCCAACGTCGAACTTCATACCTTCCATCAAGATGATGGGGAGGAAATAGGCGATTGCGTAGGTGACTGTAGTCAGGCAGCTGTAGAGTGTTAGTGTTAGCATGAACCCTCACTCCGGTGAGATCTGTAGATCTGACGTACAAGAAAATCAGAGCGAAGCCCCAAATCTTAGGATCAAGTCCGGGCTTCAGGAACTTCTTTAGGGAGAACGCCTCGAGATTGCCGTCTTTACGATCATTGTTGATGCGGCGGACAACCCAGTCGCTCTCCTTTTTGCTGAGGAATCTCCAGGATTTGGAGGCGCGGTCTGGGAAGTCGACTAGGAAAGCGAAGCAGAGCATGCCGATAAACCCGGTGATCTTCACTCATTAGTCCCGTGAGAATGTAGTTGAAACGACGGCGGCTTATAAACATACCACTCCCTCGAGAATGAAAATCCATCGCCATCCACCAAGCCCATGCGTACCGGACAACTGCATCAAGCCGAATGCCAAAATACCGGATAATGCAGATGCGACACAGCCGATGAGGTAGAACACCGAGAATCGCTTTTGCACATCATCTGCGTCGCATAAGTCGGCGCGTTCAAGAACGGGCTATATCCATTGAAACTTACATCGGGTATACCAGCAGGAAAGCAAGTAAACACACCCCGGGAAGTAGCCTGCCTCCAAAACACCCAGTAGAACGCGTAGTCCGACTAATTGGCCCCAGTTTTTGACGAATCCAGTTCCCTGAAATATATCGTGTTAGCGTGTTGTTGAATCTCCACTGGCAGCGACTCCCAAGGTCGCGAAGGCTTCAAGGCATACAATCATAATCACCGCCCACGTCATAACAATGGTCCCCAAGAATATAGTCGGTCCGATCTTGCGAATTAAAATGGTCATAGGAGGTTGGAAGATAACGTAAGGCACGAAGAACATGAGCACGACAATAGACTATCAATTCGTTAGATGGACACATACCTCGCCATGAATGAGCCGGGGGAACATACATAGCGATTGCCGACACCAAGTTCCAACTCTGTTTTCAACCTTCGCGAGTTGTTAGTAAACAGAAATGATAAGGTGAGAGGCTAGACTGCTCACCCCGCAATAGCTGCAGCACTCAGATTAGTCCGGTCCATCAACGAAATGCAGTATGCCAGTCCAGTCATAGTCACAAGTCGCAGATCAATGCGGCGAATGATCTTGCGCTGCTCTTCCTCTGTAAACTCTTCCTCATCTTCCGTACTACTGGATGTCTTCTGTGCTTGAATATCTTCGATGCGATCATCGTAGATGACCTTCTCGTCGGGCGTGGAGCCCATGGTGACTTGTCTGAAAGACTTTCCGAGACCGACAATATATTATAGGAGCCCTCTTGGTAAAGTTGTGAAAGAAAATTGAGAATGCCAGGTGTGGTGACAGCACAAGTCATGCACAAAGATAGAGCTCCAAAAGAACTATGCAAGGATCCCAGCACGCTTTTATCATTCCCGTCCCGCAAGAAGAGACTAGGAACGTGCGGAGGCCAACCTGCAGCACTACCCATGGGGTCAGAATGGAGAGTTTATTCCACTCGGGCCAGATACCTGATTGAGTTTCACACCTCAACAGCTAGGGGGCCCCTAGGATCTTCTCAAAAACCATTGGTCGGCGGCTTTTCTTCCTGTGACATTGTAACCAGTACCAGGTGATGAACAGATTATCGCCCAGAACGCCCAGCCCTGAATAGCCATCTAGCGAGCTTTGCCAATCCTCTAACAATCATTTGGAAACAATATTAGCCGACGAGATGTGAAGATGCCTCGGTCTGTCCCAGTGAATGTACTGTAGAGAAATAACAAAGAGAGACAGAAACTGGCCACCGAGACTCGGTGAGGAGGGGGAAACCCCACACTTCGTGGGCTGGGGCGAGTCAGACGTGTCGCTCGGAGGGAGGTGAACCACTGTGGCGGCTGGTGCATGATGATCTGGGGAATTCTGATGTGTTTGGATGCGGGGGAAAGCTGCTTGGCAGCTCTTGGTGCTGCTTGGCAATGTGACACGGGTGGTTAGATGCGGCGGATTCCTTTTGGTTGTTTTTTGCCCCTAAAAGTGGGGTGGAGTTATTGGTAAATATGTTTCTTGATTTTGTCTTTGTGTCTCTGTTTTGGTTGATTTACCTGTTTGTTCTTTGTTGCAGACTTCGCCTGGAGCTGTAGATTCCGGAAGGTATTTTTGTTTGAATGCGTGATACTAAACTCTACACTATAGGGAGGTCCAATGCTTGTTTGATCGTTGTTTGTTACACTGTGACAAATGATGACATGTTTCTTAAATTGCAAAAAGAAAATGTCATACATGTCCTTATCTCCCTTTGCCACCGATATTCGACGTACGACGGTGGAAATCTAGCCCCGCCCCCGAGTTTCATGGTAGGTCAAAACTAGCTACCTTCCCGATTTACTCCGTTGTCATCTATCTCTCCTTCCTATATGGAGTAGAAGGAGGGTTGAGCCTCGGATGATCTATCGACCTTATTGTCTAGCCAACGAGTCATGCGCAACTTAAACTTCAGCCACGAGTTTTATACGAAGGACATTCCTGGGGTTCGGCTGTCAGTTACTACACAGGGCAAACCGTGCGTTCTGAGACAACCTTATCCATCCGAAAAGCTCGCTACCACAGGCGACCTCTTCCTGTACTTGGATCTTACGATTGTAGTGGGGATTACTCGTGTACTAGGTTGAATACTTTCCATTTCATGCAGCATGACCTCACCACTTGGTACACAGCACGCGCGATCTGGCCATGCGGGTTGCTGCAGGCATACAGCCGATTAAGATAAACCAATCAAGGGGGTGCAATTTGCTTTGACAGCGGTCTGAACCTAGGCATCAAGATAAGAAGGTTGAGCTCGTAGAATCTAAACCTGCAGGTTGGGTAGCCCCACGTGGGGAAGTATCCGGGGGAGTGGGGAGAAGGGAGGGGACGATGCTTCAGAGTTGCCGATCGTTCTTTCATCTACTTGGAGTCTGGTATATCATATTAAGCAAATATTGCCATCGCGAGGTACCCCTTTTCATGTTCAAAGAAAACAGGAGCCAAAGACTTGAGATTTTTCTTTCTCGGCAGGTTTTAAATGATTTGTCTTTCAGACGTCTACGGAACTTGTTCCGTATATACTGTCAGTTCTCTTCTCTGTTTGAAAGTTCACGACCATCACTGCCTATTTGCTCAAATGGGCATTGTTCAGCTCCGCCATCATACAGATATACAAATTGAGATAAGTAATCCTATAATCAATTTTCATTTCCGCGGTCTTCATCGTGTGCTGGGCATGGTGTCATAATACTCCTTGCTCCGACACTCTGTATCTTATGGGATTTTCCTTCAGGAATAGTGTGAAGCTGGATCACTTAGAGGAGAAGAAGGCCTTTGCCGTTTGGGCGCTTAAATTCTCTGTTTGCGTTCAATACCCCAACTGCCTCTCGAGGTCACCTACTGCTACTTCTAGTTTATGTTCGCCAAAATTGCCAGAATGATGGCTCAACGCCAAATGGCACTGGTGTGAGTCACTCCATCTTAAACAAAATTAAATACATTATTAGCATTTTTCGCTTCTAGCTATTGGCTACTTCAACTTTATGCCAGGTGGCCCTTCCGAAATTCGATCGTTAGATTTCAGGCTGACATGAATTATGTATCTCAAGGTAGGATAGGACAGAGCCTTTGGAGGATTCGCAGAATACATGCAAATTAGACTCTCGATCTTTTCTATCGGGCCACCGTGTCACCTCCATATCTACGTGGCTCCATCATCATAATTGGAGGCAAGCTTGAAAGAGAAAATATCAGGACAACTTCAGCGCACCGCATCCCCTTTGAAATCAACCTAACAAAGTAACCAGCGACTACCAATTTGCCCTTGGGTGAATGCAAAATGGATCCCGCCACGCTGAGACACAGAAGCTTTTGGAAACAACTAGCCATTCATTTCGCGCTTATTTGTACGATTTGCGTGTGCCAGTTCTTCCCTTGTTCTTGGGTCCATCGCTTGAAACATAACCTACCGCGACGACGCGCCCGCCCGCGTCTGAGGAAAGTAGGACATCCGACAGAATATGCACTGCAATCTCCTCTCCCTCGCTAAAAAGCTCTCACTCTCTTCCATTCGATGGAACACCTCCTCGCCGACACAAGCGAGATGACCCTCGATATTCGAGAACAAAATTTCTTTTTCTTCAATATGCTTCCTCGCGGGATTCGAGACCACATCTACAACAAAGTACTGGGTGGATAAACTCTTTGGATACGAAGATACCGTGAGCCAGGAATTAGAGCGACGTGGAGTAAAGTATCAAGTGGCCGTGCTTCTAACATGCCGGAGGGTCCAATCCTCCGATTGAAACACATGGCCCTCCCAAGAACTTTTGTGGCGTTTGGCCAAAGTAGTATTATAATTGCGCTTTGTGTCTTGCTTTGATCTTTCTATAGGAAGAAACACATATTCCTATTAATGCATTACTTTGCCTGAATAAAGCGGCCAATAAATCTTTATATTGTGGCCGAAAGGTCACAGCGAGAGAAAATAGTAGACCCTCACAAGATATCCCTAGAGATAAATGCCACACAATTACAGTGACTTATGCGTCGCAGACATACTATTCGTATACGGCCGGTCATGAGAAGCTCTATCAACGGCAAATGTCAGGGCCATGGCAACATTGAAGATAATCTGAGCAAGCTTCAGATTAATTCCATTTGCTATTCTATTGCCAGTGGTGCAGCCGGCGGTGTCACCGCAATTGTTGGCGTCGTCGATAGCAAGGTTTGCGTTGAGGCTGGTACTGGACATCCCCTTCCCTCTTGCAAGAGTATTTTTGCGTTCATCAATACCGCTGGCACAACATTTCACTGGTGGCATGGTCAACACTTATTGCCCTCAATTCCTCAGTCTTTTCACCTCGTGCCATGGCTCTGATACGGAGGCTACTGCACAGAGCAATAAAGCCTTCGAGATGACTGGATTCAATACCCAGAAAAACTACAACTGCCAGGGCGACACTGGAGGCGAGAAATGTATCACGAGTTCTGTGTAAAAGCTTGCTGGTACAAACATGGCTCTATTGAGTGCATCCTACTTTTGAAGTCGTCAGATTGTCAGTTGTACGAACAAGCTTGGAAGCATTTGGAGAATCGGTATCTTGGATATGTACATATAATTACTCCTTTGCATATAACAAGTAGTGAATCGTCTCTGGAATGACATCTTACTCATACCAGTCTTGTATCAATCATCCCACAATAAGTACACGCCCTCCGTCATCAGAGGAGAAGTGATAATCTCGAAGTTTCGGGTCGAATCCAAGTCAATTCTGGAGTAGATATCACCTAGATATAGCTCTCAGCCCCGCATGGTTTGGGCGGGCCAATGCCGGCATTAGCGACGATGGTGGGCCCAAAGGATCGATCCGCAGCTGAAACGCTGCCTGTGGATTAGCCCCTGTGGGTGGTTTGTGGCATTTTTTGGATTTCCAAAATTAGGATAGAGCTCAGGCCGCATTCACCCACCCATTTACATACATCCTGCAAATTTTGGACTTTCAGCCTCGGCCGCCCGTGGTTAGGTGGAATCCACTGACACTCCAGCACTATATAAATTCTAACAACGGTCCCTAGAAACATCTGCTTAGGTGGGCAGCCTTCAACCCGGCAGTTCCGACTCAATCTTGCATCCGCGCCAATTCTACCCGTCTGTTGGTAGTATCCATGGTCTCTTATGAAATCCATGACCGTCAAGTTCTTCGAATTTTAATATCCCACACATTTTCTACAAATCTGGGAGCTTAGAAAACAAGCGAAATACTGGTTAGATATCGGTAGGCAATAAGGATTTAATTTGATTAGACCAGTAACTTGAACTCAATTAACGCTCTGTTCCTTATTTGAGTGCATGGATTGGGCTATATTATCATAACGCAAAATATGAATACCAAAGACAACGAGAGATTTCTCCCCTTCACCTCCTACTACTCCCAGGCCCCAGGGCCCTTCATGGCGAGGTTCTACCGAAGCATTCATTATAGGGAGCGTGACTTTTATGATTACTCTCTGTATCAAAGATGCAATCTTCAAGTCTGATAGCTTTTCCGTTCAGTGGGGGATTTATGCGTCATTATTCATGTTATTTAATTTCCTGTACCAGAAAGTTCGATCGATTTGAACGTATTTATTATCTTTGAGAATCAGGCTTCATATATGATACCCAGGTATCTTAAATCAATTCCAAGGCTGTATCCAGTTAACGTGGTCGTCGTGTTCTCCCCAACGCCTCTGTATTGTTTTTTGCATCACATCAAAGTTAAAGCCACCGAAAGCCTCTTTCTGAGCGCACCATCTGGCCAAAATGAAATGAAATATGGATATATAATAGTAGTAGTATTCACATATCAATTTCTGACCAAGCTGTCGGTCAAAAAAGACATAGTGATGTGGTTCCTGCCCGGGGCTACTTATATCAACTTTTCTTAACTTGAACCTAAGAACTTCTACGAGTAACTAGCACCCAAAATCTTGTTTCTATATTTTTGTGAAAGAAGACGCTAAAATAACTATATCCATGGGCGTTTGGGTGGTGGATAACCCCTGTCCCATCGAATCTTTACCCCAAATGGCCAGTTAATCTATTTTCCCTGATGATTTTCCATGGAAGGCGACACAAATGACGTCGAGGCTAACCTGACAGCGCCAATGACGTAGACCCGTTAGCTGTCATGCGACGAGGACAGCATCCTTTTCTTTTCAACGTTGAGCTCCATTCCAACTGATTTTTAGTCTTTTTTTCGCATCACAGGCCAAAATACGCGCATCGAAATATCCATCGGTCGGCGTATTCTTGAAGTCCATCCCGACCCACACGGGGAATCCTCACGGAGAATCGACAACACTTCCACCGGTCGCATTTTACAACATGGCGACTGTTTCCATCAGTGCCCCCGGATTAAGCAACGGGCTCCTGTATAATAATGGCAACAACAATGCGCGAGTTTGCATCACCTCTGAGACCAACGAATTTGACAACCAAACTATCCAAGATTGGCAGGAGGAAGGATTCGATGTCGTCTATTTGCCTCTAAATGGCGGGGAAAAGAGTACGAGAGCCAACTGAAGACTGTGAAGGAAGGGCTGGGTGTCGGAGAGAATTACGCAGTGATTGGTATGTTTCCTTGGTGTTGATTCATTGTGGTGACCGAGCTAAACGATCTTTGGATAGCATTTGGAGAAGCGGCCAGCTACTGTCTGGAGTATTACAGCAAGTCTTTCAACTGCAGCCGGCTTTGTGGTCTAATCGCATACTACCCGACCGTCATTCCTGATACTCGAACGAGCTTCGCCCTCTCCCTACCTGTTTTAGTTCATCTAGCGGGCAAAACGATCGATGTCCTCGCACAACCACAAGCTTTGGGATTGCAGGGAAAGAGGCGCCGCAAGACGAGACCAATTCAGCCTGGACTCGGTACTGGTGAACGCATGACACTTGCCTACCCGGCATTTACCTACGAATATGCAGAACCTGGATTTGCTGAACACGACATGGAGGAGTATAACAATCTGGCAGCAGATATTGCCTGGACTCGGACTGTGAAAGCTTTGAGAAAGGGATTTTCTCGAGATGCAGACCACGAAAGGCGCTGGGATGATCATCAAGAAGGTATACTATACGCACAAACTGCTTCACATTGTGACTCGAAACTTGAACTAATTGGATGCAGCCAAATTCTTCAGATCAAATTTGTCCAAGACGTTGGAGGGATACGTCCAGAACAAAGTCCCATCTGTGACATATACCTCGACTTTATCCGGTGGAATTGGCAAACAAGCTCTCCGCCGTTTCTACGGGCAGTTCTTCCTAGGAAAGCTACCTTCCTCGATGCATATCCGTCTCGTATCCCGAACAGCCGGAGCCGACCGTGTCGTGGACGAACTCTACATTTCCTTCCAGCATACCAATGAAATTCCATGGATGCTTCCCGGCGTGCCTCCGACCAACAAGAATGTCGAAATAATGTTAGTGAGCATCGTTAGCTTGCGGGGAGGGCGTCTATACTCGGAACATGTCTACTGGGACCAAGCAAGCGTGCTAGTCCAAGTCGGACTTCTCGACCCAAAACTTGCGCCCAATAACCCCCACGGAATCGACCGTCTTCCCGTCGTCGGTCGAGACGCCGCCCGCCGCATTCTTCATGAAGATACCGAGCTTGAACAAGAAGATTATCACAACCGTCTTATTCGTCGGGCTCATGCGCGCGCGCGAAAGGCTCAAAGCTCGAAGTCTTCACAGGCGCCGGATGAATCTGGGGCCGAAGGGAGGAGTGAGGTGGGAGCTTCACTACCTGTGAGGAACAAGGGTAAGGCTGTGCAAGAGGAAAATCCAGAGCCAAAGCCGGATCCAAAGCCGGAGCAGGAGCAGGAGCCGGAGTCTCAGCGCAATGCGACGGATATTACTGAACACATGAATGACGATGATGATGAGGGTGCTGCTACTGAGACTGAATCAACTGTTAAATCGAAGGAGGAAAATGGTGATCGCAAAGCATTTGTGGAAGACGGGGATTCTGGAGATGAGAATGGAAATGGACAGTCATAATTCGCCGCCGCATCGTTGTGAGTCCGATTGCATTTTGACTGTGTTGGACTTGTATACCGATGATGTTAATGTTGATTGGATCTTGTCACTATTTATATTGAAGTCTACTGTTAAAATTCCGGATATCACTACTATATGCATCCAATGCCATTTTTCAATAATTGACAAATCGTACTAATACCAGTAGTCCTGGAGTGCAATAACAGTAGTGGCTAGCGGAATCCATGGATCTTTATTGGTATTACGATATATCGGCGCTGAAGTTATTTCCGTGACTCGAAAGGCGTCAACAAGTTTCTAATTTCTGACACCAACCACCAACTTCCATAATATTTTATGTAGCTGTTTATAGAGACGCGGTTTAGAACACATTCACTAATAATAGTGGCTTTTTGGCTGTGTTTAAATAACCCATAGTCTAGTACATTGAGTAGTTATGTCGAAAGATTTGCTCGTCATTATAAATGACAACATGGTATGTCGGGGACCACATTCGGAAAGCGGATGTCGGAAGCCTCCGCATTCGTTTCTTCTTTTCTTCTTCAGATAATCTCGGTTGGTTTTTGATTCAATTAGATTCCCTAAATTCCCAAGTCTTTCTCCCACCATGCCGTCTGAAGCGCAAAATATCTACGACCATCCTGAGTTCTTCTCAGCATACAGTACTCTTCCACGCTCACAGGGCGGGCTATCCTCCGCTCCGGAATGGCCGGTTTTACAGAAAATGGTGCTACAAGATAGCACCCAAGCACCCAGTTCTGAAATTAGCAAATTGAACGGAAAGAGGGTTCTTGACCTCGGTTGTGGTTATGGCTGGTTTTCCAGATGGGCGCGCGACAATGGCGCCTCCCACATCAGGGGGATTGATCTCTCCGAGAAGATGATTAGTCGGGCGAAGGAGTTCGAGGATTCCGTCCAAACAAAGGCTTTTGAAATTGGGTTTGGAACAGGCGATCTCGATAAAATCACATTCGGAGATAGCCTAGAGAAAGGCACATACGATCTCGTCTACAGCTCCTTGACATTCCACTACGTTGAGGATCTCTCTCGACTTTATCGTGAGATTTTCGCTTCACTGAAGCAAGGGGGTAGGTTGGTATTCTCGGTGGAACACCCTATCTGCTCAGCACCAACAGTCCCCGGTCCAGATTGGATCTCTGTCCAAGAGGGGGGCCAAGATAAGAAAGTGTGGCCACTTGATTCCTACAGTGAGGAGGGCTGGCGATATACAAGTTGGTTGGGTATTTCGGGTGTCAAGAAGTACCATCGGACGGTGGAAACATACATTACCCTCCTCCTGGAGAACGGGTTTAAGTTGACTGGAATGAAAGACTGGGTCCCTTCCAAGGAAGATGTTGCTGAGCATCCAGAGTGGGCGGATGAAAGACATCGTCCTTATTTCCTGCTTATTTCCGCGGAGCTATAGGGAAAACAAGATGTGCCAGTAATTGACCGGCATCTAGTGGCATTTTTATTAGACGGGGGCAGAGTTTGTACTGTATTTCTGAACCTATGGATATGGCTTTGGCATCTCCTTTAACGCCATCCACCCGTACAATCTCTCGCTATCCGACCTAGGTATTTTCCCTTTTGCAACTTTCAAGGTTCTCCTGCCTCAGTCACAGCCCCAGGCACGAACGAACACTGACACATCTGTAAGATCGGAATACGCTGCTCGGTCTGTCGCATTGACAAACATGGGGTGCATCAAATCCATTTCACTGTAAAAGTTGCGCAGAAGAACCGTTAGTCGCTCCGAATCCGGGTCGGTATCACTAGAAAATAGTTAGCTTTTCAACTTCTCAAAATCAACTGGGGTTCCCACCACTGTAATGCGTTCTGGAGCGTCATCCAGAACATGACCATGGGTTGAGCCACATCCATAACGATCTGTCTTGCTGGGACACCCGGGTTTATTGCTATCACCATCGATGACTTGTCAACCTCGATCCATGCCTCCGGGTCCTTGAGAACCTTGACCTGGTGCAGATTGAAAAATTGTTTGTCGACCTTTGTGTAGGCTGGGTCCTGTACAAAGCATGTGATATCGGTAGACTTTCCACCCGATCGAACTTTTCTGTTGCGAAGGTAGTCACAAATTGTCAAGAAAAGCAGATGCTGGTTGAGGGTACGTCCTTGAACTGTAGCGTGGTCGTGGTCGTCGAAGAGAATCGGCGATGAAATAGAGTTCAAGCCAACTGCGATAACTTTGTTGACTTTACCGCAGGTGATATTCTGTAACACTTCCCTCACTCGATGGTCAACCCCCGAAGCCAGCCATTTCTCCTGGGCGGATTTGTATTTCGCCTTCACAGTGTTTAGATCCAGAATCCCTCTCTTCGAAATAAGCTGTCTCGTTTTGGGATCTCTTTCCTCGACAACGTGTCCAATATCCATTGAACAGAATGGCGGGCTCAATTTGAATGATTCATCGGTGTGCTTCAGCGCGGTTGCTTTCAACTCATCCATGGTGTGGTAACGAATGAAGGGTTCTCCTCTGTCAAGGATTTTCACATAAGCATTAACAGCGTAGGAAAGGAAAGGGATTTCCTTACAAAAAGAGTTTTCCAGGTCTACCTGTCGTGAAATCGTTCGTGCTGATTTCTTCACCCGTGCGAATCTTGAATTTGACGCCGTGTCCTGTGATGTCCTTTGAGGTGATCTCGTCGCCCCTTTTGACGCCATTCCGGAGTTTCTTGGAAATTCTCTGCATGCTCTCTTTGGGTAGATTGGATTGCAGTCGAGCTGGCGTTTTTCGAGGATCTCAAACGTCGTTATTTTCCCTCTTGTTAGGGCTCGCGGGGGGTTTCCCAGCCAGGTTGTTTCGCCGAAAACCTCTCCTTGTGCCGGTGTCATTTTGCTGTTTGGGCTCGTAGCAGAGACTTGAATAGATGAAAAGGATAGAAAGGATGGATGTATGTGAATGAGTAAAATGTCTAGGAGAGAGCGAGGCAACAAGAGGACAAACCAGGGGAAGACAAGCGATGCCTGAGGCCCCACACCTCAATAGTCCAGATTGTTCTTTTTCGGAATGTGAATTAGAAAGGGAAGGAAGTACCGAGATGATAGGTTTGATTGATATTCTCGTGAATGGAAAAAGAAGGAAGCCATTGAATAGTTTTCGTCGTTTAAATGAACGATTCACTTAACAAAAACGTCCTCAACGGCACATCATAAAATGTAGATCGAGAACGGAAAAATACGGGGGCGAAAGCATAAAGTTAAAAGGAAAGCTCCTCAGTTGTAGGAGACAGGTAGTAAACAGGTAGCAAACAAAGCTGGAATCAGCAAGCAAGCTGAAGCCTAAGGCTCCGGTGGAGATATCCTGGCATGAAATCTTTGGAAATACGGTAGGATCCAGACATGCCTCTTTCACTTGCCCTAGGCCGTCTGTAATTCGAAGAAAATGAAAGAAGGTAAAGAGTATCAACTCGAGTTTTCACTTGCTGACCTACTCTGTCTTTCTCATTCCCATGATACAAATAGTACCGACTCCACCATACTTCTCCACATCCAGTATGACAGGTTCAGTATCCACAAATCCAAATTTCGCATACAGATCATGACCATCAGCAGATGCGTCGATCCAGTAGTCATTTAGACCCAGCCCCCGGCCGGTTGAAAGACCTTGTTGCAACAAGGCCGACCCGACACCTTTCCCGCAATATTCCGGGAGTGTAGCAAGAACTTGCAGGACTTTCATGTGTTAGCGATTACTCAAAACAAAATAGAAAGGCATTTATGAATCTCCTACATCCAAATCTCTTCCCATCCATATGCTTCTTTTTCGCCAGCTCAACCGCCCCGATAAAATCGTTGCAGGCATCGCGATTCGCCGTCGTGGGCCAAGGAATATCATTTTTTAATGGCTCTATGGTCTTGGGCTCAGTGAAATAGTGCCAACGGGCCCAACCGATGATTTTCTCCAGTCCATTTTCGTCCTTGATGACAGCCTTCCAGAAGCGGGCAGTCGGGTCTGTCTTCATTTTTTCAAGGAAATTGCTGCGTCGGAATTCATTGCCCACGTCGCTGTATGAACCGAACATTATCTGGAAAGTATTGGACCCGGGAGGCTCTTTCTTCGAATTATCGAATGCGATAGCTTCCACCTGGGCAAGTGTTAAACAATCATCTTCAGTGGCTGGGATGACTTGGAAGTCTATCAAAGCAGGCCGCACAGCTCCCATATTGATGGTGGATTTGGGTGTAGGGCGTAGGAGAAGAAAAATGAGGGGCAAAGGGTAGCGACAAGTGTAAGCATTTAGTTCAGTCTGAGGCCGGGCGTCTGTTGGTCGAAATTATTTTGGCCCCTTATGATCTAACCTTTCTGGGTGAGCAGTCTTATTTCACATGGATGTTCACAATTCGAAAATAAATTTGGTACTAGTATCTGTCATCTGGGAAGATCTATTAAATGGTAGGACTTTTTTTTAAATAATAATGATAGCTCATCAAATTTCCCGCCACAGATATAGTTAAGCTACGACTTGTAGCCCCGCAAATCGATGGGTAAATCGGCAGGCTGGGGCTCCGTCTGCGGTCGTTCAATCGGGAAACGATCCGGCCAGTGGATCTGATTTTATTTACTAAATATTCCAAGTTCCCTCGGGAGGTGGAATATTATTGGCTCCATTCTGCACCAAGCAGATCATGGCACATATTTCCAAGAGCCTCACCAGTCCCTCCACATGAGGGTCTAATCGTGGATTCAGATCGCTTGTCCTTAAACCCACGGGTAACATACGGTCTGCTGAATGCAACTGGAATGCATGAGGTGAAGCTATCTGGAAAATCCCCCGTGGTGATGGCATTTAAATTGCAGAAATCCGCATTTGTGTCGACTAATGCTTACATTCCTCTACTTACATTCGCTTCGACCGGTATGAATTATCTGGCAGGTTGGATCTGTGAAATTATGGTGACAACATCAGCAGAAATTATTTAGATAAGCCTCATCGCATCAATGTATATCTATGTGACAACGCGGAAGGTATAACTAATTATTGCCCAAACCTTCTGGCCCCCCGTCGCAATTATTCCCGACGGGGAATGCTCTCGGACCGCGCAGTGGGTCCTAGCGCGCTTACCAAAAGTTTGGGGACAGAAGCCCTCATAAAGGTATGATAGCTAACCGGAAGATTGCAAAGACCAAAAAGTATCCGAAATTCAACTTCCGAAATGGCACGAACACTCCGCGTTGCGATTCTCGAATGCGATACGCCAGTTGCGCCTGTTGTCGAGCAGGTTGGCAACTATGGAGTTATCTTTGAAGCCCTGCTGAAGAAGGGTTTAGTGGCGGCCAACTCTAGCGTGGATTTCGAGATCAGCAAATGGAATGTCGTGGGGAATCCGGTCTATCCCAATCCAAATGATATTGATGCTTTTCTTCTCAGTGGAAGTAGTAAGTGAAATGTTTTCTTATACGGGATATCTCATGGTGGCAATCGCTAAGCTATAGCAGAACATGATGCCCATTCTGATGAGACATGGATCGTGAGCTTGACTCAATACGTATGTGGGGTTTTGCGGAATCATAAGACGCCCGTGGTCGGTATCTGCTTCGGTCATCAGATCATCGCGCGCGCACTCGGTGCTCGTGTTGGAAGGAGTGATGGTTGGGAAATCTCTGTCGAGGAGATCACGCTGACTGATGCCGGGAAAGCTCTTTTCGGGCAGGATACACTGGTATATCAAGATAAATATTCTGGAAATGTCCAATCAAACTAACATCCTCTAGTACCTGCAACAAATGCATCGCGATGTCGTGCATGAGGTCCCAAAGGGCTGCGTCAACTTGGGATATAGTCCCCGCTGTGCGATTCAAGGTCTTCATATGCCCGGGCGGATATGGAGTGTACAGGCTCATCCTGAATTTACCGAATTTATCATGTCATCTGTATTGAAGATCCGACATGAGACCGGGGTTTTCAATGATGAACAATATGCCGACGCAAAGTCCAGAGCAGGAAAGAAGACTGATGGTGAGAACCTGGCGAGGAAAATTGTTAAATTCATTATTGAGTCCTGTGCAAATTAATCGAGGTAGTACTATCACTAGCACATATAACTAGCAGCTAATTAAAATAATTCAAACAATAACTTGAAATAAATCAATATCCATCCTGTACTCGGGTGCAAGACACATTCTATATCCCAACCAGCCCGCAGTTGAAAGGACCTGGAAAGAAGAGATAGTTAGTAAATTCAATGGTCCTGCTTTCAATCAGCCCTGAATGTTCTTTCTATGTAAATGTAATGTATTGCACTAGGACGCTCAAACTATAAAATGCAAGTCAATAGCGATGACTAAGGACCATGTCACCTGATGGCGGGGGGTCGTGGGGAATTTCCAACTTTCAACCTCCAATCGAATGCTTCCCTCGCAATGTCCCCCTCCAAGACCGCGATAAGCGGAGCCATTTGCCATTTCACCGCGCTACCTATAAAATCCAACTCCGTCGGGTGCATTGGAATTTCAATTTAACACATCTCTTCATTGCGACTCCGATTATACCCCTTCCTCTTCACGTACACCACACATCACCATGTCGAACCAAATCCGAACTATCTCCCCTCCACCCATGAGGTCATCTTTGATCAGCCCGGCGCTTCTCTCGCCGATGCTACTAAGATCGCCGCCTCTTCCAAGCAAGCATTCGAAGCTTATCGCACCACCACATTGAGCCAGAGAAAGGAGATTGTGAAGCGCGCTCTTGATATCGTCGATACTCGCATCGATGAGCTGGCCAAGGAGCTCACTACCCAAATGGGTCGACCCATTAGGTACTGCGCAGGGGAGATCAAGACCATGCGTCTTCGTGCAGAGCATATGATGGATATCGCGGAGGAGAGCCTGGCAGATCTTCCGGGACAGCCCCAAGAAGGCTTCAACCGCTCAGTCAAGCGAGTTCCTCTGGGACCTGTGTTGATTGTCGGTGCCTGGAATGTAAGAGGTCACTTTATGTTCACAGTGTGGCCGAGCATCTCACTAACTAATCGTTTTTGTTTCCTAGTACCCATACCTGACTACCGTCAACGCATTGGTTCCTGCTCTGCTCGCTGGTAACAGTGTCCTCCTCCGTCCGTCGCCCCAGACTCCTCTCTTCGGTGACAGAATGCTTGAGATCTTCACTGAGGCTGGTTTGCCTAAGAATGTGCTGCAGGTCCTGCACATCGGAAGCCTGGATGTTCTCGACCAAGTCGCCCAGCTCCCTGCTGTTCAATCTATCTCCTTCACTGGCTCTACTGCCGGCGGAATCCGATTGCGCGAGGCAACCGCGCGCCAGGTCAAGCCAGTCAACCTTGAGTTGGGCGGTAACGATCCCGCTTACGTGCGCCCCGATGTCGATGTGAAGAACGTTGCTGAGAACTTGGTTGATGGCGCTGTCTTCAACTCCGGACAAAGCTGCTGCTCTGTTGAGCGCGTGTATGTCCACGAGAAGATCTACGATGACTTTGTTCGTCTCGTGCAGGAGGAGCTGAAGAAGTATGTCTTGCATTTCGCAACTTAAGATATTGATACTGACCACCCTTTGCAGCTACAAACTTGGAGACCCTCAAGACGAGACCACCACTACCGGCCCTGTTATCTCCGCCCCAGCCAAGGTTAAGATCCAATCTCACATCGACGACGCTCTCAGTAAGGGAGCTGTTAATTCGACCCCCGAGAATGCCACCTTTGCTCTGGCCAACACCGCTCTCAAGGGCAACTACCTTGCTCCTATTGTCTTGACCAATGTCAACCACAAAATGATCACCATGAAGGAGGAGACCTTTGGCCCTGTCATGCCCATCATGAAGGTCTCTAGTGACGAGGAGGCCATTGCTCTGATGAACGACACCGACTACGGTTTGACTGCCAGTGTTTGGACCAAGGATCTTGCCAAGGGTGAGGAGATTATCGACCAGGTTGAGGCTGGAACAGTATTCCTCAACCGCTGCGACTATCCTGCTCCGGTAAGTACTACAATCAGTTCTGCTTCTCCCGTCCTGCTGCCTTGAGCAACAGCTAATCCATTCTTTAGGACCTGGCATGGACCGGCTGGAAGTCCTCTGGTCTGGGATGCACCCTCGGACCTCGAGCCTACGATGGTTTCACGAAGCTGAAGAGCTACCACATTAAGAATGCCTAAGTAAAAGTGTTCGTCTACCTTTTTCGTGAAAGCAGGTAACTAGAGTTCTTTCGGTCAAACACTATATGTACATAATGAATGCAATAAAATGAATCGATGCCCTGCATTATTCTCAGTATTATCCCCAATAAACACGGTATGCCCAGGTGTATATACTTGTAGGTACCTCAAGCTCTCTTGTTCCATTTAGTTACATCATTCACCACGCATTGTCCAACTTTCTTCCACTCCTTTCGCTCTTGGCATTCGTCGACTTTCCACCGAGTGGCGCTCGTAGACCCACACCGCGGTCCGGGACCGCGCTCCTAGTTTCGAAGCGCGGTTAAAGACTTCAAGTGACAGGCCCACGTGAACGAATTCAATTTGCTTATCGAAACTCGTGTTCGGTGGCTTGTTACCCGCGTTCTACAGTAACTTGATAGTTGACCGTGGTACAGCGCCATCTGGCGGAAAAGCTGACGGAGGAGCGCGGTGGGCGGAATGCAGCGGTCAGAACATTGTGTCGTGGAGCCTGGACATCCAGCGCGCCTCGAAAGGCATGTCGTGATGTACTTTTTTCGTTGCAAACGTGTTGATTACTTCCTGGTAGTGGAGATGGGAGGGTTTCAAGTACTCATTCGGTAATCACTTGAGAATATAAGTAATAGGATCATACAACTGGACTACACATCTCCAATTCATTTTCTCTTTCACCAATCCAAGCTTCTTGCTAGGTAATATACATTCATCATATAATTCTTTGCTAAATTACAACGTAATGGTCGGACGACTCCAAGGAAAGAATGCCATCGTCACCGGTGCTGCCGGGTAAGGACTCCCAACTAGTCGAAGCCTGCCAATCAAGACAAAACGAGCGCATACTGACCATGATCTATAATCAGTGGCATCGGTCTCGAGACCACCATCCTCATGCTCCGCGAAGGCGCATCCGTCCTCATGACAGATATTAGCGACACAGGCCTTGCTACAGCTCTTCAAAAAGTAAACACTGTCATCCCTCCGAATCTTCGAACCGGAAAGGTCGAAACAAAGACCATCGACGTATCAGACGAATCCCAAATCGAAGCCGCAGTGTCGCACCTAGATTCCTGGGGCGGAATCGATATTATTTTCAACAATGCTGGAATCATGCACCCCCGCGACGCTGACTCGGTGGAGTGTCCGGAGGATATCTGGGATCGAACGATGGACATCAACGTTAAGGGCGTGTGGTTTGGATCCAAACATGCCGTCCTCGGATTCCGGAGACATGGGAAGAAGGCCGGTAGCGTGATTAACACCGCTAGTGTGGTTGGGCTGGTCGGCGCTGCGACGTCCCAGCTGGCGTATACTGCGAGCAAGGGTGCTGTTTTGGCTATGACCAGGGAGTTGGGTATCGTTCACGCGCGTGAGGGTGAGTAGGAAATTCCAAATCGATCATGGTTATAGTACACATTCGCTAATGATGGATCGTTTGGTTAGGTTTCCGGTTCAATTCGCTTTGCCCTGCACCGTTGAATACACCCTTGCTTCAGGACTGGCTGGGAGATGACAAGGAGAAGCGTTTCCGTCGCGAGGTACATTTTCCCAGCGGCCGGTTCGGCGAGGCGATTGAGCAAGCGCAAGCTGTTATTTTTCTGGCGAGTGATGAAAGTAGTTTTGTCAATGCGACTGACTTTGTTGTCGATGGAGGCATGACAAAGGCATATGTGACCCCTGAGGGACCAGCCACAGAGGCACCAAAGAACTTGGCCGGGCCATAAGTAGGCTTCACTTCGATTTGCTTTGCCTCTAGCGAGGATACACCAAGATATCCCATCAATCCGATTAGAACTCACGCAAATGAAATCCAAATTTGATTCTCCTGCATTGTCCGACAGATATTCCAAGGCCCGGCCTCGGATTGTGGAAGTTGCCACATGACTTCGAGGAGTAGAAGTGTTCTCTGCATATTTCCCAGGCCAAAATGCGTCGCCATTGCGACAAGGCGTGTTCTGAGACAGTCCTGCTGCTCGGGTTTGGAAAGACAAGAGCCGACGACAGCAATGGGCCAGCATAAGCCGGAGTTGATGCGTGCTTCTGGCGACAACTCGACCAGGTATGTCATTGCTTCTGTAACGGCCGTTTGGATGAGGCCATTGTAAATCCCATCCGAGGTGTGCTCATAACCGCCGAGAGATGTGTAAAGATAAATGAGCATTGCTTGTTGGAAAATCAACCCAGCAAGGTAGACTTCAGAAACCACGAACGGATAAGGCGACCATCGGAGGATCTGCGCTTGGATAGACGCAAACATCGCCATATCATCAGCTGTGGGTATCGTCGCAGGACCATCATCCATCATCCACTGTCGGCCAAGGTCGAATATGCACGGAATCAGGAGAAGGAGTTCAAGCCAGCAGCCGCAGAGGTTTCCGACGTATTGCGTTTGGAGGAGTTCTCGCGCTCGTTGCTCAAGCTCGAAGTTTAGAAACAGCTGTCCACTGAGTCGAGCGTCTATTGAGATCATGCTCACGGTCGCTGTGTAGGAATAATATTCAATTACGAAATCTTTCAACTCCCTCGGTACGGCTGTGTCACTCTGGGCAAGAAGCTTCACAAGGAGTGTGTTTGCGGCCGATAGATGGTCGAATATTGTGCCTGTCATGTCACCTTTGGCCGTCTATTTCACGTTAGTATTAAGATTCCCCGGTCAATTTTCTAGCGGAACGTCGTCATACCTCGGTGAAACACATCAGGAGGGCGCCAACAAGCAGCATAAGCGGATTGGGCTCTTTGCCTTCAATAAATTCTGTCACCCCGTGTCGGAAGAGTTTGATGGCCTTGGAATAGTGGGAATGGGCAACAGCATCTGTCTCATCACGGCGGCGAAACGCACGATGAGCCGCACTCTGGGTGATGACGAGTTGGAGTAAAAGGTCGCTGCTGAATGCAAGGGGTACAATTTGAACCAGGAAAGGGTTGATCGGGGTGGATCCGTTGGCCATACAGTCCGCGGTGGTGCTCAAATAATGACTGAGAAGTTGATATGATTCTGGATCGTAGCCCGGTAACATGGACATTGTCCTCGGCACAACATTTCCAACGTGAGCCCTCTGTATTATAGAAAGGTCGTCGTTGTTAGTATTCCCAGATGATGAGTTCCGGCGATCTGTTGACTCGTTCTGTGCCATGGGCTCGTCCAGATCATCGCTAGCAGTAACTGATGGCGACCCGATCGACGAAATCGATGAGGAATGCCGCCTTGAACCTGGACTGGTCGATAATCTCATCGCCTCATGTACGTCAATTGTTTCAGGAAGACTAAATCGCCTCAAATCCGCATTGTCTTTTGAGGCCTCGTTCTCCGGTCCGGAATTCCTTCTCCCAGGGATAATCGTTGGCCACGAGCAGCCCAGTTCATTCCGTGAACAGCCGCCACAAATCGGACGAACCTCATCGCACTTCTTCTTGCGACGTCTGCAAGTCCAACACCCAGTGCGAACGCGTACTATTCGCGTGGTCCTTGGCTGTCGATCCGTTGGCATTTTGCAAGGGTTGGGGGTGAAAAGGGACGGGAAAGCCACGCGGAATAGAAACCACGAGGCACAAAAGGTTTGGCTTGGAAGGGGGGCCGCGCGCTGATAAGAAGCCGGTGTGGGGTAGAAACTCTATTATTGTGCTTACGCTAACTAATGGTTGTTCATCGTTTAGTTGGGTTTTGGGTTGGGTTTGGTTACGTAGGACGTGCAGAACTGGTTATTGGCCCCCGTGTTCAAGTTCTCAACCTGATATCATGCATGAAAAGTTATCGGAACTAACTCTCTAGCCGCGATATATCATGAGGCAAGTTAGGACTAGCGTGTGGCATTTTTCCACGAAATTCATCACCTCCGCCTTATCGTGCCACGCATCATTGTATGCCGCACTCAGGCACATGCGACCGCGGAATGTTCCAAGAAATACCCCCAGTCCTGTTCCTAATTCCTCTCCGGTCACCCAGGGATTTTCGACTCCGAAGGGGCCCAGCTGTGAAGGGATGAGATTGTCGATAACACCCAAACTGGAGATAGAGGCCGAGGGCGTTGGATTGGGCGCTGGGACGGGTGGATCCTCATTGCCAATCAGATATTCGGGCGTTGCGAGCTGCCAATACGAGGGGGGTCATTGATAAGTGTTCATGGTCATTTTTAATAGTCAAATAATACTTTTTGACCTCACCAACGACACGTCGCATCTCTTCTCGTATTTCGCCTTCGCTGGGAGAATTGCTGGAGGCGTCCGGAACTTCCAAATCGATTGCCATACTCTGTCCTGAAACTGAATGGTAGACTGCTGCTGCATGAAGAGGCGTATGGAATGGCTCTTTGCAGTGCCTGCGCTCGTTCATCATGGAATAGCTAATGTAGCGAACTGACCGCTTCTTGGATCGCCTCTCCTGGAGGTCCCGCATGGTCATGGCGATTGAGGCGTGGTATACATGAGTAAGACTAGCGTTGATCTTCTTGCACGCGAGCAAAATTCGAGAAGAAACTTCTGGAGATATAGCAAAGGCGATACGCTGGTGACGACCCGGTAGAGAACGGCCAAACCGAAACGGGATTGTTGAAATCTCAGCCTCTTTGCGCATCATGGTGTTGAATTCCACGATCTGCCGGAACCTTGCTTGTTTCTCTGGTGGTAAGGCATTCGGGATACCGGCTGCGACTCTTAACGGCGGACTGAGATGTTTCCATTCGTCACCAAAATCAGGGATCGCAAATGTGTTTGGCTCGTTGAAAACTCGGGCGGCATAGCGGATGAGATTTCCCATTAAATGAAGCGCGCCGATGCCGTCGATAATATTATGTTGTGATCTCAATATTACATCCAGAATCAATGCATGATCTGGAGCTTCCCTTCGCTTAACGATGAATAGCGTGGGTAGTTTGGGAACAGGTGGATCTGAATTGCACCATTCCTCGCCGGACTGGCTGTCCGTCACTTGCCTGAAAGTGTCGTCGAGCCAAGCTTTCATATGAGGGATAGTGTCTGTTTTCAAAAATTCTTCATAAATCTTTTTGCATCTTCTGGCTTCTTGATTGTATTCCACCCAGGACGCGATAGTTGGGTGATCGTATCGCAGACATACCCATGCTTTCCGCAAAGCATCGATCACACGCAGCTCTACGTCCTCGCTGTCACGGACAATGTATAATGAAACGTGGGCAGTCAGCGCGAAAAAGGCACGTCCTGTTCCGGCAAATCTTCTCGCAAGTGTTGTGTAGAATTGTTCCACTTCATCGATGTCGCGCTCCCAACGGCCCGACGCAGTTGGTCGCCAGAGAAGACCCTCTTCCACCATGTTTTTGGAAGAGGATGCTACTTTTGATAACTTTGGCAAGGCTAAAACTTTTTTTTTCTTTTTTGCAAAAATCGGCGTAGGACGGTGTCTGTTTTAAATTGCACGCTGTCACACGCCATCCTGGCAAGCGGAGTCGAAATTCCGTGTCAGATCAAGCGAGTGATATGTCAATATGAAGTTTTTTCAGCTTCAAAACAACACAAAGGCCCAGTACAGAATGCAGGTGCCAGAAAGATAGATACGAGGAGGAGCATATGACCCAGAAGTCTCGGCTGGGATGCTTATACGAATGACTGTGCATAAGCCGAGGATTAGCCGTACTAGTCCAGCCACTAAGCATTCTCTGGAGGTCGGACCGAGCATCCGGGAATTTTTTCTAAACTTTATGTTGTTCGTGTAGATTTCAAAGCAGGACTGTGGATCAGCAAGATATCCAGTTCTCACGTCCTTTTCCAGTCTTCTATGATCATAGCTGCTCCCTTCTCGGCGATTGCGTACACTGTTGCCTGGGGATGAGCCCCGATCTGCAGAGGCATTATACTGGCATCAATCACCCTTAAGCCATGTACGCCATAGACTCGTAAATGCTCGTCGACAACTCCATCGCGTGCGCCTCCTGAACCGCCCATCGCACATGTGCCGATGGCTGTACTTTCGTGTTAGCATGTGCGGAACTTTGCAGGGAGAATGTTGGACATACGGTGCCAGTCAGTGATCGTGTACCTTTCCATTAGGCCATCGTCAAGTTGTTCGTTCTTCTCGGTCTCATCATTTTTCATGGTCCCCAAATCAGATGCGCGATCTCCTATGTTCGAATCATCTGGCAATGGAGGAAATACGCGACCCTTGATGATTCCTGCTAATGGCTCTGTCTGGCATATTTTATCTGCGAATTTCCGTGCCAGGGCCATTATCTTCTTGTCAAACTGACCCATTCCCAGATAGTATTTTGGATCTAGGATGGGCATTTCTTCAGCGCTGACAGAGTCGGCCTCATCTAATCGGGCTCGGATGTGAACAGAGCCCTGAGATAACGGATATTGCAGTATCTGAAGCATGGTTGCATACTTTTTATCGGGATCTGACTTGAAGAACGGACACCAATTCCCCAAATCGAAGATGTATTCAATGCGACCATGGGATGTAGGAATCAGAGTCTGTTTTACGTGTTGCCGCAGTTTTGCGTTAATCGAGTCATCTCCAAGTTGATGTTCAAGGCCTTTGGAAAACGAGATCAAGGCGCAACGTTCTTTTTCTGACGTGATGTCGGATACAGAGCAATAGGCAACCGAACATGGAAGTACAGTCCACGGGCCAGTTTGCGAGGTCTGATAAGCATGATCGGCGGCGGCGCGTAGAATTGGGTTGCCGATAATGTTATCCCTAGATGATAGGGTTGGAAGGACCTCGTATATACTCGCAAACACTAGAGATATGTCAGAGTAGCCTAGTTAATGACGACGTATTGACCGAATCGATTTCTGCCTACTCATATGGTCTTGCAGATTCTCTCCCACGTTCTTATTTTCAAACTTCACTTCGATTCCTGCAGCTTCTAGAACCCCTCGTGCACCAATGCCGGAAATCTCTAAGAGCTGTGGCGATTGTATGGTACCTGCACTCAGAATAACTTCTCTTCTAGCCTTCAGCTCGCCGATGTGCTGGTCATGGCATACACTTGCACCGGTCGCTCTCAAGCCTGAGTCGTCTTTCTCCAAAAGCACTTTGAGAACGGTCGTGTTGGTAAAAACATGCAAATTTTTCCTAGATGCTATTGGTGCATAGTAAGCTGAAGCAGCATAACTCCGTGTCTGTTGTCTAGGATCGATGCTGCAAACCATATTCCATGCCCCGTAGTTAGCCCCAGCGAGGCTATCTTCACTCGAAGGAATGTTCAGGGCGTTCATTGTGTCATGCCAGTACTGGTGTGTTGGGCCATATTCCTTGCTATGTGTTGTCTGAATCGCACCCTTGGTACCATTGAATTCGGCTTGATAACTCGACTTGTAGTCTTTCTGATGGGCAGCACTGGGGGGGTGAAATGTCTCGCTGCGAAGGAAGTAAGGACTGCCAACATGTCAGTTGGAATCTCTTATTTGATTTTCATCACACACAGGAGGTCCTCCCAACCCCAGCCAGCGTTTCCGAGATCCGCCCAAGCATCATAGTCGTGACGGTGCGCTCTATTCCAGGCCATGAAATTCAAGGCACTTGTACCGCCAAGAACGCGTCCACGAGGCATTGGAAGAGATCGACCCGCCAGCCCAGGCTGGGATGTTGTTTCAAATTTCCAATCATATTGCGAATTAATGGCTTCTCCGTAGCGACCGGGTACAGTGATACTCCTCTCCGTCCTCGCCGTCCAAGGCCGACGGACCAGCCTCGATGACCCCCACTTGGACCCCGGGGTCTTCACTAAGTCGTGCAGCAACTGCCAGTCCCGCAGTCCCACCGCCAATGATCAAATAATCGAATGTACGATTTTCGAATTGCATTCTTCTTCTCGATGTGTATTTGTTGGTAAAGGTCGTTGAAGATCCAGGTGTGGAAAATTCAAAAATGGGAAGAGAGTTGTTTGCGCGGGGTGCATCGATGAAATTGTCATCCTTGCACCGCCTCACTTTGAGTTTCAATAAAAGAATGCTACCTTTGATCTGTTTGAAATCTTCTTATTTTCTGGCTATCGTTTGTCGTTTGCCAGGATACTGTAACAAATCACTACCTACGTAGTAACTTAACCGATGTGTGTGAAGCAATCAGTCCAGGCTGCCAGTGATTCTCGTTGGTTGATGATAAGCGGATGATCTGGAGATCGAAATATATACAAGCGACAGCAAACCACCACTAACTTGAGCCGACTACTAGTACTAGTAGTACCAAATAAATTCAACTTAAACCCCCCCAGGGCTTGAAAGTAGCCCGCCCGCGTTACAAACACCAAGCTTTTTGCATTACCCCCGAATGTCAAATAAATGAGCTACGAGAAAACGACAACCCGTCGAAGAATCGCGCAATTGTATTTATGATTTTTGAAACGAGTACGAGTACGTATTCTTCACTGAGACCTCCCCCACACAGCACTCGACACGAATACGGTCGTCTTAATTCTACCAATTAACTTCCAACGTCCGTCTGAGACTGATATCGAGACAATGGAATTGTTGTGACTTTTCTCGCGCCTTAGATAGCTTCAAATTGTGAACAATTTGCTTATTTCCTAGAAAAGGAAATTCTGAAACCTTTAAGACCCCGCTCTCACTCATAAGGCTAATTCAAGTGTAAGGCTGATTATCTCGCTGTCAGGAACTTGGCTGTACGGAGTACTGTGTACTCGTATGTCCATCACCACGGAGGCAAGGGAAATGATTTACGTCCCGAAAATTTGAACCCCAACAATTCTCATCTCGGCAGATGATCAGCGGAGGAAAATGCAGGATGGCCACAGGCGGGGAGCTCCTGGCAACAACCATGGCAATTTTTTAATACAAAGCTGGGGCTACTTGTACTCGTACTCGTAGGAAGTCATCAGATCTTCTGTCGCATCCCCTTCCTGCCATCTTATCTATTCCCATGATCAATGGTTCAACGGTGATGAACAAGGGTCTGGCATCCATTTCAGGGGGGATACGCGGGATTAAATGCCTCAAGCCTCCTGAAACCAAACAATTGGTTCACTAAATCACCAAAACTCCGCTCTCCATAACGGCCAACCAGTCATCCGAATACGACACACGCTTATCTTCTTGGCGGGGGCCATTTGGCTTGGCCTTGACCCCCCTGAGGGAATTGTATCGCCCACAAACCGACTTCGGCTAGCGTTTACCAAGCCACTAACGATGCCACGATCGATCATCTTACTCCCTACACGTGATTCTTTGAATTGGCAGTCATAAGGATAAGGGGCGGGAGGGAAAGGAGTTCCCGCTGGTTTAAAATGTCAAGTGGCTCTGAACTGTCAAATATCCTCTCCGCCAGATTTTTCGATTGGGTCGCTTGCCAAACAAATCGCTCACCCCTCACGCGACAGCCACGCGATCCCTTCACGACACTCGTTTATTTAAGATTCCGACCCCAGTCAGTCATAAAACCGAATACGAAATAATTCTTGGATTCGAAATTGGGGCCGCCATTACCTGTCTCTCGAAACTTTGAATTTGACGACATCCTTCTCCATTATGGTCACGAATGGCAATACTGCACAAGACGGGAATCATCATCACAATGTTGGCCTTGGAGCCTCTGCACCAGAGGAGGAATCGGGCTTAATGGCAGATTGTGCCTCTGAGCGCAGTTTCGGAAGTGAGCATCGATTCAAGAAATGGTCTTCGAATCGGGGGTCATTTCTAAACTACTCATGCTTCCGATCTAGTAATGCTAATACATTTTTATTGAAATCCATGAAGATCAAGACCCAGTCGCGCACCGTAAAGATGGGGCCTCCCATCAGATCCAGAGAATATTCCACAAGAGCCAAAATTCGGCGGACTTTAGGAGTAGAGAACCCCGAGCGTGTCCTGCTTGCGAAAGTCCCATTATAGCCATCAAAAGCCAGCTCAAGGTCCTACTATCGTTCAAAAATTCTACATCGCTCGTTTTCGCGCTGGTCGCCATCATTTTTTCTGCTCTCAACATGCCGGCGTTGGTTGTTTTTATCTGGAATTTGATCGCCATCATTCCTCTGTCGATAACGCTCACTTTTGCGACCGAGAGATTAGCCCAAGATCTGGGCGAAACTGCGGGAGCACTGCTTAATATTTCACTGGGAAATCTTGCCGAATTAATCATCTTGTGAGTAATCCTTTCTTGCCTCTGACTTTTTTACATTGTACTAACCTAAGCACAGTATGTGAGTCAAATCTTCTTGTGATGCCGATAATGGTGGAATTTGGTACTAATTGTTGATAGCACCGCCCTATTGAAGAACAACATCAGAGTTGTTCAGGCATCCCTTCTGGGATCAGTCCTTGTGAACTTGCTGCTCGTTCTTGGATCTGCGATCATTGCTGGAGGCGTGATCGGCCCAGATCAGACTTACAACAACGATGTCACTCATTCATTCGTTGGGTTACTGAATCTGACGGTCTCTTGCCTTATGATTCCAGTTCGTAAATGCACAATTCCATCAAGAAACTGACACTAACAGCTATACAGAGTGCTTTCTACGGAAGTGTGAAAAGTATGAAAACCGCCGATCATATGGCCTTGGAATTCAGCAGAGGCGTTTCCATCATCCTTCTCATCATCTATTTTCTTTACCTCTTCTTCCAGTTCAGAAGCCACCCCCATATCTTTCGATCCCGCTCACTGGCATTCCCAGTTGAAGATGAAACCGTTGATCAACACATCTATCGCCCATCCTACGACCCAGTTTTCACAGATATTGAGTCACGACGAAATTCAGAAGACAGCGCAAAAGGCCAAAATCAAAATCTCCCTGAAATGCGCGAAGTCTCGTCTCCGGCTGGTCCAGCCTCGGAGCCTACAGATCTCGAAAGCGAGGCAGGCCTTCCATTAACTCATATCGACACCGAGGAGAGAAGGGATGCTACTTCTTATGGTCACAACCGCAGAAAAAGCCATTTCTCTCAAGCAGGTGAAGATTCCCACTATTGCCGCAACACTGTGTTGGCGAACCGAGGCATGTCTTTATTCGTACTCACCCTTTCGACGGTCTTAATCGCTATGTGTGCCGAATTTTTCGCATCAAGTTTTGACGTTCTCAACGATCGCGGGGTTCTGGGAGAATCATTCGTTGGACTTATTATCATTCCAATTGCTGGTAACGTGGCAGAGAATGTCACCGCGGTTGTTGTGGCAGCCAAGAACCAGATGGATCTTGCGATTAGCGTCGCTCTTGGATCGGCCATTCAAATTGGTCTCCTGGTTGCTCCGATGATTGTTCTTGTTGGATGGGCGATGGATAAGCCAATGAGCTTGCACTTTGATAGCTTCGGAATGGTTACTCTAGTGGGATCCTCCGTACTGGTCAGTTTCATTATTCTGAAAGGAAAGACCAACTATCTGGAGGGCGCCATCTTGTGCGCGTGCTTTACTGCTATATCGTGAGTGAATACCCGATCATCTAAAATGGCTCGTATTAAACTAACTCTTTCGCAGCGTTGGTGCTTTTCTTTTGCCAATTAAATGATGACACAACGTCTGGAACAATCCTGGACCTCGATCATTCCCTCCTTCTCTTCTACTTTTATTTATTTTCCCTGTACACAATTGGGCCCAATATTGCTGGTGATTGTTGGGTTTACCTGCACATACGCATCAAGGGCCGGCCAAGCGGCCGGACCCAACTCTATAAATCAATCGGGAGATCATTCCCTTATAATAAAACAAATTTGAATTGAAAAAAACTTGCTCCCTCAATCTAATCCGAATTGATGGAAGATCCAGGGATACGAACCAGTGTAACCAAAAGGGTCGTAGCGTCGCTTGTCGGGGCTGTTCTGCCTGAAATTACACTCTTTCTGCCTGGACCCTGGGGCGATCGCACGGGTACTTAAGGGGTGAGCTTCGATTCGATCTGAAAACTTAAAGTAATCCCATCAACCTCTTTAGCACGAGTTGGAGTTGAAATTTTCAAAATGGGTTCCGCAAAACAGCCAGTTTCATTGATGCCGGGATTCAATGTGCCCTTGAATAAGCTGCCAAAGGTAAAGCCCCGAGACTTGACCACTTGTGTCTAGGTTCTAATGAGGTAGAAAAATGTTTTCGACTCCTATGCAGAAGGTTTTCCCTTGGCCCTGCTGCCTGAAGAGATGGAAGCCGGAATGTAGGTTAAAATATCTATCAATGCGCTAGTGATATTAATGTTCAATAATGATATCTAGGTATGCGACCACACAACGGGAAATTGTAATGATGCGATTCATGAACACGATCATGGAAAAGCCCGAATGGGATCGAAAGGTACACTCCAATATTCAAGAAGAACTAAGCACATGTAAATCTAATATTCGACAGATCTTCGACACAGAAATCACAGCGAAATGGCGCAACGAAATCGCCCAGAGTGGCCAGGACGTGTCACCTAAAATGATTGACTGGATCGTCAAGGAGGTTGAGTGGAAGGCGAAAATACTCAAAGAGACAGGAATTGTCTCAGCATTTGATCCTGGTGTTTTCAGATCTGATGCAGCAGTTCCTGAAGAAGTCCGACAGGCACTAAAAGACGCCGTGAAACCTCTCGAAGACGTACCAGAGGACCAAAAGGATTATCATCCAGGCTCAGACAACCAAGTCATCAATCTTGTGCATCCGTCTCTCTTCCCGATCGTGTATGGTAGGACTCGCGTTCTGGCTGACAATATCATTGACCTCGATGATTGTCTCCATCATGTAGGGGAGGGTGAGCTGATTCCAATTCCCCCGAAGAAAGATCTCAGTCATGCAAATTACGGGTCGCTTGACCCCCACAGTTACAGCGATTGGCCAGAACTATATAGTGGGAAATTCCAATGGCTCCCTTGTGAAGTGAAACTGCTAGATGGTGGTGACTGTCAAATCGTGTCATACATCAACAATGCACATCCTGTGCAGCATAAGGCCTTGTACGAAGTTGTTGAAAAGGTCATCTCCTGGGCATTACCCCTTTGGGAGAACAGTTTGTCCGAACTTCCCAACCCCAGAATCGCTTATCGCGAGGTTGAGTATGCTGAGCATCCAGAACCCGAGCCAGAAGGATTATCAGATGATGAGGATTTTGACCAGAATGAGTTCGATGATGCTTATACGAAGTGGCTAGAAACCCAACCTATCATTCTTCCTGAACCAGGCGAGTTCGTGCCTCCGACAGAGGCTGGCAACCTGAACATACAACGTCATTTTCCGGAGACGAATTTGCAAGTTATCGTAAAGCTGGCAAACATTGAATTGACTCCTGAGAAGCCAAACTATAATGGCGGCTCTTGGCACATCGAGGGACAGTTGGTAAGAATATCATACCTTCCATTGGCTCCGAGTTGAACAAAGTATTGAGTCTTTCCTTCAGAACGAACGTATCTGCGCTACCGCGCTCTACTACTACGACAATGAAAACATCAACGAAAACACTCTGGACTTTCGTAAACGTGCAACGATTGATGAAGAACTCTCATACGAACAAGGCCGCCACGAATTTTTACAGGCTGTTTTTGGATTCGGAGACGACGTGGGTAGCTATGGGGGCGACAACACCACCCAGCATATTGGAGGCGTACTATGCAAAGAAGGACGACTCCTCACTTTCCCTAATACTATTCAACACCGTGTGTCCTCATTCTCACTCACCGATCCGTCCAAGCCGGGCCATAGAAAGATTCTGGCACTCTTTCTGGTGGATCCTCACCATCGAGTCATTTCCTCTGCCAATGTTCCCCACAAAGCGAGGAGTGGGCCCAAGAAAAACAAGGCCTCGTGGACCAGGTCTTATCACGACTACCAGCAGAGCTGCAGAGTATGGTCGAGAAGGGTCTGGATCCTTTGATGACTATGGAAGAAGCCAAGAAGCTCAGGCTAGAACTTATGGAGGAGCGTGGACGCGACTCCGCGGCAGCCAATATCGAATTCGAAAGGGGAGATTTCTCCCTTTGTGAGCATTGAATGTGGCATTGATTTAGCGAGATATCCAGACCGGAGTTGAATACTATTTTCCAAGTGGAGGCATGTATGACATGAGGAAACTACGGAAAGGGTCAGGCGACGTTGACATCAGGTGGGAGTCCTAGTTTTGCTACGAGTCTTCCGAGCGCACCGAATATAAATGTCTTTGTTCTTCGGGTACTGGTTCGCTTAGCATCGAATTTGTAGAATATGGTATGATGTTTTAATACACTCAACAACCTTGGAACCATCATCCAGGGAAGAGGCACCCCTGGCAGAATGATTCAATTGCTGGCTCATTCCCACGCCCCTGATTCATCTAGGGACCAGAGGCTTCGTCACTACTCCGTATGTGTTCGAGAAAACTCTATGATCAAAATAAGTTCTCTGTTCGGGTCTTGTTTTAACAGAATTGCCGACTACACCAACCTTGCAAACATCATCATCATTATCATTATCATCCTCACCATCACGATCACTATCACCACCACCACCACCACCACCACACTAAAAAGATTTCTATATCGTTATGGAGTAGATATTCAGATATCCCTTATATTGCATAATCAGAGTATCAGATTTGAATATTCTTCCCCTTTGCCGATTATGAAACTCCAGTTGCCCCGGCTGGTGGGGCTGCAGAATTGACTAAGATTCGGGTTAGGTAAATCCTGATGACGATTGTCCATAGTGGAGAATGGCATTCGCAACCTGTTTCGCAGGTTTCGACACCGGACCGTCCGGCCAGTTGAAAACCCGTACCTGAATGCTGTACCTGACTCTGCCGATCCGGGTTTCCCGATATACTATTCCCACTTCTTCAAAGGACCTCACGCGTGAAGTTCATCATTTCGGAGAAAACTCCCGTTCAGAGGCCCCACGCCGGCCAATTCCCTCCCAGTTGATGCTTGTTGATCGAAATTGGACCGGAAATCCCGGCTGTGCTGCTCTTGAAGATGAATATAATGCTTGGCCCGGCACCTTCGACCGACTCCCGACGGACTTTATCACCTCACAGACAAGATGTTGACATCGCCACTCGTTTTACTTGCCTCACTCGGTGCTGGTCTTGTCCAGGCACAGCAAAATACTCTTGATGATTTGTTCGTCGAAAATGCGCCCTCTTCGCCGCGTCCCTACGTCATTCCTCACTATGCCAACTCGCACTCCGTGACGATTGGTCCTCAGCTCTACCGATTCCCCGTCACCGGTCCGTCTTCGGGTTATGCCTTCACCCTCATGGGCACCAATGCGCCTTCAAGTGGGAATCTAGGCGTGCTGCCTCACATTCACCGCCGGCATTATGAGAACTTTTTCGCCCTGAAGGGCCGGTTCCAACTGTGGGCTCAAAAGGACGGCAACGAACAGCAGGGTCGTCTGCTCACTCAGGGCGACTTTGGTTCCGTCCCCGCAACACCACCCACACCTTCCAAATGCTGGATCCTGATACCGAGATGGTTGGTATCATCGTCCCAGGTGGATTCGAGTAAGTTATTTTGAAGCTGCCCGAGGACATACGAGTACTTGTAGATTGACATGTCAATAGGGATTTGTTCTACGCCCTTGGCACCAACTATAGTTCTGGAACGGACACCGCATATGTGCCCAGTGTCTCTCATGGACCTGGTACTCCCAGTAGCTATATCATGTCTCAGTTGCAAAGATACGATGTTTATCCTGAGACCTTTAAGGCTCGCCGTGATTTCGTCAATGGATCTGCCCCTTCCCACAATACTGTGTGGCACACTGGCAGTAATGAGCTCGGTGCACCTGCAAAGCCCTACTTCTTAGCTGGCGGCTATGGTCCTAAGTATCTCAACTCTGACCATGGATACCAGATCATCCAACCACTCGTCGAGCCCAAACAGGCCCAGGACCTCAACTATACTATCTCGACTATTTCGCTCAGTCGTCAGACCAAGAATAGCCCACCTTCGTATACTCTAGACGGGGCAGCTGCCTTTGAAGTTGCGGAGGGTGCTCTGTCTATCCAAATTGGCGATTTCCCTTTGGTAACTATTATGACAGGTGACGTGGCTTTCATCCCTGCGCAGGTGCCTTTCACTTACTACACCGAGACGGCCTTTACCAAGGTACTTTTTATCGCCAGCGGCAACAACAGTCTTGATCAGCAGTTGATCAATGGTGGAAATAAATGGGACTGGGTTACTTTCCCAAGTACTAAGCATACCTAGGATGGGCTGCATGTACTAGAAATATTCTAATAGAATAGATTTATTGTCAGGAAGGCAGCGAACGCGCGCCTTGTGACATATCAGTTTTGAATTTCACCGTGTTTCTTATGCAGCTACAAAATTCTTGGGGTTATTCTCCGCGGTCGCTAGAAAATTTCTCGTATCTCGTGGTCCAATCATCAACAGCAAAGATGCAGTCATCTTTCACTTGCACAGAACAAATCATCCATGCCCCACAACCTACTAATGATCATACACTTTCCCATATAGGAATATGTATTCCAGGTTAAATCTGCCATCCCCTTGCCAAGATGGTCCTTTAGGGGGGCAGAGCCTCGAACCTCCGACGAATAGATTTCTAGTGTGATCTCCGCGAGCCGAACTGCATTTGTACGATGCCCTCACGGCGCCTCCTTACTCGTGCAAATATTTTGTTTCTCGGGATAAGCTTGTTCAATGCAACCTCAAACGGCCCTCGGTAAGGAGAATCCAAATTGTATCGTAGTTGTTGATCGATCTGATGTGTGAGATCGCCCCGCTTCAGCAGCCCCCACATATGCGAGCAAAGTTACATTAACCGTCTGCCCCTCGATCCGACAAAAAAACAATCCTCTTGACCATCGAAAAATTGCACATCCAAAATGGGCTCGACGAAGTCTACTCTCCTGCTGCATCCAGTTACAAAAGAAGACATCCCCTCATGCGTCGATATCTGGTTCAAGGCCTTCTCAACAGACCAGGACATGGTACGAATATTTCCCGATACACCAGGCTTGCGAGAATGGACGGCGGGATATATTACCCTTGATCTCGAGACCAAACCATATCAGTATTATGTCAAGGTAGTGGATCCATCGATCACGGACGAGCGTGGTCAAGCTCGGATACTCGCCTATGCGAAATGGGATACAGCCTCGATGGAAGTGCGAGGTCGACGATTTCCGCCTTGGGCGGCGGAGACACCAGCGGACGAAGCTACCAGTGTGTTTGACTTTCTAAATGGGAATCGGAGTCGTGTTATGGGGGATTTGAAGCATTATTGTGAGTGAACTAGGCTCACTCGAGACTCAATAGTCATTCGATCCACCTGGGCAAGATGGTGCTAACTACGGTCCGATCCAGATCTGGACATGCTCTGCACTCACCCGGATTTCCAGAAGCGTGGGGCTGGTTCGATGCTAGTCAAATGGGGCTGCGATTTGGCTGATAAAGATGGAGTGTCTGCATACGTTGATGCGAGCAAGACGGGCGCGCCTCTGTACGAGAGATTTGGATTCGTTGATCGCAGTCTACCCGACCAGGGCAATATTGCTGCAATGGGTCGTTTCAAGGTGACATGAAGGAGCTGATATCATTTTTTTGCATCAGGGAAACAATCTCACCGGCCAATTGAGTGGTAAATAGATGAGATCGGAGCGGTGTAAACTCCGAGTCCCTGAGATAGGTGTCTCGGTCTGATCTTATGTGAGTTCTTCTACACAAAGCTGTGCTGCCAGAAAAATTTAAGAAGACAAAACGACTGCTGTACTGGATGATATCCGAGTGATCCTATTGGTATTCCTTCATGTTCTTCTCTGACTTTTCCGCGAGTGGGGACTATTGCCGTGCCAGTGCTTAGCAGGCCTAGCTCTCTCATTTAAAGGGCATCTGATTTTTGGGAAGACAGAATTTTCCTCGGTCGCAGAGCGATATTCTCTCCGACGCAGGTGAAAAAGGACCTTTCACGTAATTATCCTTTCTGCGGACGAGTAGTAGGTGTTCGATGCTCGATATGTCATCTCCAAAGCATTCTTCCACCATGCCACCTCCACATGGTCCAAAATTAGTAGCAACCAGGAACGAACATAGTGAGGGGAAGTATGCATGACAAGAACGCCATTAGCTAAATTACCTCACTCTCCTCCGTGTACGGAGTACTGGAAGAAATTAAGTCTGTCTTGGCTATCACATCCGAGGGACCACTCACAACACGCCTAGGATCTTGCGACCGTGATAGTAGATCCACTGTCGGTATAACTGCGGAGAGAAAGTACCGACCAAGAAGGGTGAAGATAGACAGGACTAGCAGGGGTATGTTGCAACAGCTCAGGGCGATCTTTCACTTTCATCTCAGGCTCCGTCCCCACGTTCTTTAGCTCGACGGAGTACACCTGGGCAGATGAAGGCGTGCAAGGCGAACCCTTCTCATCTCCGCTCGCTGTACCAAGTAAACAACAGATCGGCCTGAGACAATTCTGCTGTTTCAACGTCGTTAATCAAAGATCTGCAAAGCACAGGCGGTGACTATCTGTCTGCAACGACCCCTAGATCCACCAATAATCACAAACTACCAAGACAAGATTCGCAAGACATCAGTAACACCAAGACTCCACGTCATGAACGGAGCACGAGTATCACTTTCCAATCCTTCATCAAGCCTCTTGCAATGCCAAGTCCCGCCGTCATCTGGCAGTTACAAAGCCATCATCCTGAGTGGATACTATCCCTGGAGGGGCTGGACTAGGGCACGCTAGGCACGGGTGCGCATCATTGCTCCAGACCAGCGTCATTACCAAGCACCTTTGGCTCGGCCTTCTAGCTTCATCCCTGCTGGATAATTGCCAAGAGTACGGAGGAAACAGCCCACGCGTATCTCTTCACTGGCTCTGCCGTCTACTCGTAAGAAATCTGCAGCCTGAGTTCCTTTCCTGGGATTTTCTCCGAAGTAGAGCCAGTCCTGCCAAGCTTACACGGTGCATCACAACCACTCCGCGATCATGCTCCACCCAGCCCCAGCTCAATTGACCGGAAATTCAACCTGTGACCGACCTGGGATGCGTCTGCTCTGCAGCCTGGGCACTCTAGCTGTCCGCTCGGCCGTAGCTGTAGCTACTAGCCAACCATTGATTGACCATCATGCACCGGGTGACGCTAGGGACCAGGAACAGGGCCAACGGTCCACCGGCAACGAGCATATTGTACGACACAAGTTGCCTGCACGATGGAGAGGGTCCTCTGCCGAACCATATTCCCCACCGGGCATGGAGACAGGCCAGTTGTGTTCCACAGCCGTCCACAGCTGGTATGGATTTTGATTCTAGCCCGCCATGCTAAATAATCATCTCGCTCGTGGTTGGTGAGCTGCACCACCTACATGTTCCTTCGCTCGGAGTAATTTTTGTCTAGACTGGAAACACGATTAGTCTGCAGTCAGCCCCGCGAACCTTGCAAGACATTGGAACTGAAATGCTCTCGGCACTTTCCCCTGCATATAAATAAGACCTGCTTCTCGTCGTCGCGATCTTTGGATTTTCTCCCCACCCATTGACCTTTCCCCTCAACATAGCTTCAGAATGCATTTGCTTGCTCTGGCCACGGGCCTTGTCGGCATTGCCAATGCAGCTTGTCCTTATATGACAGGTGAAGCTGGTGAATATAATCCACACGAGCTTCATCGTCGCGCAGATGGCGGCGCCGCTGGCGATACCGAGGAATTTTTATCGCAATACTACCTCAATGACAAAGATGCTTTCCTGACCTCGGATGTTGGCGGCCCAATTGAGGATCAAAACAGTCTCAGTGCAGGAGAGCGTGGACCGACTCTGTTAGAGGATTTTATTTTCCGCCAGAAGATCCAGCACTTTGACCATGAGCGTGTATGTAGACCTCGGGAGTGAAATGCAGCCTTCAATTCACGCGCTAATTAACGTTTCTGCATAGGTCCCCGAACGCGCAGTCCACGCCCGCGGTGCCGGTGCCCATGGTGTCTTCACCTCGTATGCCGACTGGTCGAACATCACAGCCGCATCTTTCCTCTCGAAAAAGGACAAAGAAACACCCATGTTTGTGCGATTCTCTACCGTTGCTGGTAGTCGAGGCAGTGCCGATACAGCGCGCGATGTGCACGGATTCGCGACACGCTTCTACACCGATGAAGGAAATTTCGGTACGCATTTCCCCGGAAGAAGACGATACGCCAACTAACACCTCACAGATATCGTCGGAAACAATATCCCAGTCTTCTTCATTCAAGACGCAATTCAATTCCCCGACTTAATCCACGCCGTCAAGCCCAGCGGTGATAACGAGATCCCACAAGCAGCGACAGCTCACGACTCAGCATGGGACTTCTTCAGCCAACAGCCTAGCTCTTTGCACACTCTTCTCTGGGCAATGGCTGGCCACGGACTTCCTCGATCTTTCCGTAATGTCGACGGTTTCGGAGTGCACACTTTCCGCTTCGTCACGGACAGCGGAAAATCGAAGCTCGTCAAGTTTCATTGGAAGGGCCTCCAGGGTAAAGCCAGTTTGGTGTGGGAAGAGGCTCAGCAGATTTCTGGCAAGAATCCTGATTTCTTGCGTCAGGATTTGTGGGATGCTATTGAGGCAGAGCGGTTCCCTGAATGGGAGGTGAGTGTCCAAAGCAGCTTGTATAACTTCTCATGTTCGAATGCTAACATCTTCTCTCATCTTAGTTGGGCGTGCAAATCATGGACGAAGACGATCAACTCCGTTTCGGCTTCGACGTCCTCGACCCAACGAAAATCGTTCCAGAGGAATACGTCCCCGTCACAAAGCTAGGAAAGATGACTCTAAACCGCAATCCGAAGAACTACTTTGCAGAAACCGAGCAAGTCATGGTAAGCCACCTCTCCCTCCCTCTCCCAGGGGGACTCGCCCAGCTAACTCTCCACCAGTTTCAACCAGGCCACATAGTCCGAGGAATCGACTTCAGCGACGACCCCCTACTCCAAGGCCGTCTATTCTCCTACCTAGACACCCAACTAAACCGACACAGCGGCCCCAACTTCGAACAACTCCCCATAAACCAACCCAGAACCCCAATCCACAACAACAACCGCGACGGCGCAGGACAAATGTTCATCCCACTAAACAAAGACGCCTACAGCCCGAACACACTGAACAAAGGCTCACCAAAACAAGCAAACCAAACAGTCGGCAAGGGATTCTTCACTACCCCTAGCCGAACTGGCAACGGCAAACTCCAGCGCACGCGTAGC